TGGTACTAGGACAGTTATTAAAATATTAATTGAATGTCTTTAAAACATTTCAAACTGTGTGTCCGTGCTTGTGCTGATGGAATAGATGGGACCGAGAGCTGCTGGTGCAGCCTCTTCAGCACTGTTTATCTGTTTCAGTCTCTGGAAAAGTAGTGGAACTGCAAAAACTTTCTTAAATAGCCTGTATAAGCTCTGATTCTTTCCAGTTCACATCTCTTCTCCCCCCATACTCCCTCCCTCTCTCTCCCTCCCTCCCCCCACCAAAAAAAATCCCAAAACCCACAAGAGTAATCACAGAAACTGTGCCCAATTCTTCCTGGTGTCCCCCACCACTCTCCTACCAAGCCACTCAGTTTAGTGTCTGTTTCAACGACAACAAGAAATTTCTGTTGTTAGGGCCTGTCCATACTGCAACTGTAACCATGCTAGTGTAAAAGTTAACTGGCATAAGGGGCTTCTGTTATAACACTTTTTATGTATAATGTGGATAAGCCTATATGGAGGGAACCTTTTACAGCCTAGATCAGGAGTGGGCATACTTCTTGGCCCAAGGGCCACATTGGGGTTGCAAAACTGTATGGAGGGCTGGGTAGGGAAGGCTGTGCATCCCCAAACAGCCTGGCCCCCGACCCCTCTCACTTCCCACCCCCTGACTGCCCCCCTCAGAACCCCTGACCCATCCAACCCTCACCCTGCTCCTTGTCCCCTAACTGCCCCCTCATGGGACTCCTGCCCCTAATCGCCCCCCCGGTACCCCACCGCCTATCCAGCCCCCCCCTTGCTCCCTGTCCCCTGACTGCCCCAACCCCTATCCACAGCCCTGCCCCTTGACAGGCCCCCCGGGACTCCCGCCCCTTATCCAACCTCATGGCCCCCTTACCATGCTGCTCAGAGCAGCATGTCTGGCAGCTGCACCGCCTGGCTGGAGCCAGACACACTGCAGCTCTGCTCGGCAGGAACACGCAACCCCTCCGCCCAGAGAGCTGCCTGCGCAGCGGCGTGGCTGCAGGGGACTGGGGACAGTGGGGGAGGGGCCGGGGACTAGCCTCCCTGGCCGGGAGCTCAAGGGCCAGGCAGGATGGTCCCGTGGGCCGGATGTGGCCCACGGGCTGTACTTTGCCCACCTCTGGCCTAGATGCTGAATAGTAGCAGTGAAACTGTCCGATCTAGTTAATGTCACTCTACAGCTGTTAGGGAAGGCATTGAGCATCAAAGTGAATAGAGATGCTTCAGATGCAGGAAGAACACAGGGCATCCATTCACAAGCTGCAAATGTATAAAGACTTTAAACATTTTAATAAAGTAATTCTGTAGAAATTGATGGAATAACGTCCTCTCTCCCCATCCCATGCACATGCTTGTTAGGCAAAGTTTCTTATTCTAAATTGATTGAGTGGACTATTCAAGCTCTTGTCTAGTGGTTACATTACTAAGACTCTAGGGTTTTCAAAATACAATGAATAAAGATAAAAGGGAAACCTCAGGATTTGGGTTAAATCAAGTGCAGCAACTGAAAAGAATAAAGAAAGCTCAACAAACTTATTCTAGTCTCTTCCCTGCCAGTGCAGGATTATTGCCTACATTTGTTTTTTTTTTTTCTTAGTTTAGTTTTAAATGTCATACAAGGCCTGCTGCTTAACTTCCTGTGGGAGATCATTCCAGTCTTACAAATCACACTGCTAGGGAGTTTTCCCTGTTTTCAAGGCAAATTTTTCATTTCCTGTTATTCTTAGTTATGCATCTTTTATTGTACTGTGCTAAATTTCCTCTCCTCTCCTTGGTATTCACACTTCTCAAAAGCTTGTAGGCTTGTGTCCTTCCATAGTTGTCACTGAGCCAAGCCACAAGTATTCCTTACTCTTTCCTTCCAAGTAAATCCTATATCCCATTTAAGTTTTTATTGATAGTGAGGTGTTCTGAACTGAGTTTAGTATTCTAGGTGCAGTCTCAACAAGGCATTGCTGACCAGGAAATAATGCATACTGCTCCAGAACATCTTTATGGGCAGCCCAGAATCTCATTTTTTTTAATGCAGTATGATACTGTAAGTTCACATCTAAACTAATTTGCTGTCCACTATTACCCTTGAGTCTCATTTAGTACAATTCTGAATGCCTGCCTTCCTCCTTTTTCTTGAATTGTCTTCTCCAGGTGTTTTAATCTCCATTTTCCCCAGCAATTTCACTGTAATTCCTGCTATTTCTAACTCCTCAAGATCTCTTTGCAATATTTCTCTGTCTTCAGTGGTGTTTGCAATACATCCCTGACTATTTACATGCAAATTACTGTGCTGTTTACTTCCAAATCATTGACAATCTCAAATCAGAATGGAACTAACCTGACCACTTCAAATTCCCAATTCATGACTCGCAATTTGATACATTACCCCATATTATCTTTTTGTGCTCGCTCCATTTGCTTGTGTTGCTGTTCAAGCCAGTCTGTTTTTTCAAGTCCTTTTTCAAACAGGCTCTAGAAATGTAGAATGTAGCTGTATTTTTATTGCATAGGTATGCAATCCATTATACTAATTCAACAAGGAGTCCGGTGGCACCTTAAAGACTAACAAATTTATTTGGGCCTAAGCTTTCGTGAGTAAAAAACCCATTTCAAATGTGAAGAAGTGTTTTTTTTACCCATGAAAGCTTATGCCCAAATAAATTTGTTAAGTCTTTAAGGTGCCACTGGACTCCTTGTTGTTTTTGTGGATGCAGACTAACACGGCTACCCCTCTTATACTAATTCAGTGTGTTTGAGGCTCCATGTATGATGCCATTATGTGACCACGCAAACAGGGAAATACGCTCCTTTTTATTAAAAAGGATATCGTATAATCCCACCTCGGTAGGAACACAGTAGAATTCCCCTTATGCAGGATTTGAGTCCTTGAAGTCAGGACAGAGTTTTCAAAGATGCCAAGTCCCATTTTCAAAAAGAATTTAAATGCATAAGTAATCTTTGAAAGTGGGGATATAGGCTCCTGACTTGCATAGGCACTCTTGAAATTATTAACCAAGGTCTAGTTCTCCTTCTAGAGGCTTATTGATGTTCTGAAAATTAGCACCCACTTGCAGCAATGGCGTAGTTGCATTGTTGTTACCAGAAGTGTCAGTCTGACAGGAGTCGCTGCCCTTCTCCCCCACACTTTGTCAGTGAGTCAGATTACTGTATGCTGGGGGCATTTCTCTGGTACATTGAACTTTGGTGCATTTTTAGAATAATTTCAGTTTAAAACTGGATGCTTTTGAATTATTTTGTAGCCAATTAACGTAGCTGTATACCACAGTGCTTTATTGTTGCATAAATCAGGTCATGCTATATAGAATGAGCCTTGTACTGAGCTGACTTTGAGCGTGTTAAGTAAACACTTATGGTGATCTTAACCCCAGTGACAGATAATTGTAAATTTAAATGTTAATTTTAAACATGTCTGAATTTAAAACGCCAGTATTTTATTCTGACTATCCACTGTGACCGAACTGTTAGTAACAGCCATCTTTAAACAGGCTCATGTTAATGTCAGGAACAGAACCTAAAGAAACATTAGTAGGGTGTTATGTTAGTGTGGTATTTCTTCTCTGGATACCTGGATCCACATGGTTTAAGCAACAATTGAAATTTAGTTTTTCTTTCCCTCTACACCTCAAACCCATAAAACAAATAGTGTTTACTCCAGAAAGGTTTAGGAATGGATTAAGACAGGATAATGAAAGTCCCAGTTGAACTATGAGGGAAAATTTGAGAGCCTGTGTCTGCTGTTCATCTAACTCTTACAAAAGTGAAAACCCTAAGCATAAAAATTCATCCATGAATAAGGAATATTCTTTATCATTTTTCTATTGAAGTGAGAAAACTTTGAGAAGCACTCTTGATGTCTTTGGGTAGAACATCTAATTTAAAAGTCCAAATTCCACCAGTTCCAACCAATGGAATAAATTATCTTCTTGGATCTTATCTACGCTTGGATTTTTTCCCAGAAATTTCCCCCCCCCCCCACTTGCTACCAAAAGTCAGTTGTACCAATCATATAATCAGTAAAATCACTCATATAGGCACTGACATTTTACCCACTGTGACTTGTTCTGAGCAGGGTTAGGCAACACTGCCTCATATGTTGATGGCTGTCTGGTGCCCTCGCTATATATTAATGCTTACATCATTACCACAAGTGGGGTCTTACAGGTGGTAGCAAGAGTCAGGTAGGGATTTTTCCACCTAAAATTCCCCTGTGCAGATTGGGGGAGGGAGGGAAGAGTCTGTCATCATGAACTCCATCTTGTTTTATGTTAATTCCACTTTTCAGGGACTCCACTTTTTATTGTTATCTTTACTTTGGAGTTTGACCTTCATGTGATATTGCATCCTCTTTTGTGGACTAGAGCATCAATGTTTGTAGTACAGGCTTGACACAAATTGAATGACTGTCTGTGAAAATGGCACAGAGCAATCTTCAACAACCAGCCCATCCAGAAGAACAATGAAGTCTACACCGAAGCCTAGCTGGAAAAGTGGCTGATGATCCTCAACCTAGGCACATGGCCAAAGGGGTCAGAGACTTTATTCAAGAGGGAATGCTCCCTGTGAAAGGGGTGGGGGATGTCGGACTAGTGCCACATTCAAGAAGACCAGGCTAAGGAGAGAAGAGGCAAGAAGGGCTGCCTAGCCTAAGGATGCTGATCAAATCCAGGAGTCGCAGGAGGAATGAGATCAGACCGGGGAATGTATTCAGGACTGTTATTTTTCAAAGATCTGTAACTCAAGTGATTTTTAAGAGTAAAGTGTCTGTGGTTAAGAAATTCCTTTACTAAGCCTGTATTCCTTGCTTGCCTGTCACATTGTCTTGGAAAGGGTTAACACTGTGGTGGAACTCTGAGGGAGCATATATAAGCACCTGAGGCTTAGGTGGGCTGGGGTGTGAGGTGACTGGACTGTGGGGGCTAAGTGCCCAAGAGAGGTGTCAGATAAGGACCTTCACCTTGGAGTGTCTAAAGACCCTGGGCTAGCAACAGTAACCAGTCACTGTCCAGACCCAAATTGCTTAGAAACATGTGGTATCCAGTAGTTGTGTTCACTCACAACAGAATGTTGTCTGTCCAGAGAGGGACTCGGCCAGGTTGTGATAGACACAACCTTCATGTGGTTAAACTAGCAACATTATTAATCTTGTAATTCCTATCAACGTAGTTACAAGGTTGCTTCTTCGGTTCACCTTGGATTCATCCACAGTATATATACTAGGACCCCTGTTACTATAACAGCCAGCACTGGTGCAGTTTGACCTGTTCTAAGCTGCTGATGTAGACAGGTCTCAAACATTTTCATCCTGATAACTCTCACTAGTGATAGCAACCAGGTATCTGCAAAATTGCTGGTGGTTGCAGTAAGATGAGTACTCAATCTGGTATAGAATATGCACTTGAAGAAAACCCTTTCTGTGGTCATAAAGATCCATGAGGTGGATCCCTCTGTAGGATCAAGTGTAAGACTGCTTTTCATTCTCTCATTAAGGAGAAATCCAGATGTGAATGGTTGGGTTTTTGTTAGCCAATGACTATGTAAGATTAAACAAGAAACAACACAAAAAAACACAACAAACAAGGTTAATTCAACTCCTGAAGGTAGGAAACATTTACTTTAATTACCAGATATGGAAATGGTGATATAGCATGTATCTTGCTGAACATTAAATAACTGGAATTAATTTTTAAGTGAATATGATGGACAGCATTCCAGCTATCACACTTTATCTAAAATGGTTGCCTGGAACTCAGCTATTCCTCAATAACAAGGTAATGACAGATGAGTGTTTCTGCTTCCCTACAATGAAAGCAATGGAGAAGCCCTAGTACACCTGTGCACTCTACTAAAGTGGATTTCTTGAAATAATGCCAAATTAAATTTTAGAATTTCATACATTTTATTAATACTGATTAAAATTACCATACATTGTTTGCAGTGTAAGTCATATTACAGATGTAATCTTACTGTCATGGCTGCTAGCACATACTAACAGCCAGAACAGCTTGACATTTTTCAAATGAATTTTTCATTGAAATTCAGCCTTTTATGCAAAGAGCATTTTTTCATGAAAACAGTTTCAAAATGTTTCATTTTTTTTAAAAAAAGCTTCTGATGAAAACTTTAAGTAAAAAGACTTTCTGCTTGTTTTGAGAAATCGTTTTTTCAGTTTTGGCATGTTGTCTGCGGGGGGAGGGAATCACCAGTGTTGCTCAGGCAAAGTTTAATTCCATGATGGGTTATTGTTTTGGTTTGTTTTTTTTCCCCCCCAAAATTGAAAAATCATCAAAAACTCAATTTAAAAATAGTTCTGCAGAAAAATCAAACCGTTACAACAAACAGAATGAAAGGCACTTCTGAATTTGCAGAAATTTCAGTTACTTTATTTGGTAAGCTCATGACAGAAATTAATGTGAAACCATTTGGTCTGCATACAACCCAGAGCTGCTGGTCTGTGTCTGCTTCAGAATTAATCCAGAGAGTCATTGAGACCAAGAAGCATACAGGGTGCAGACAGAACATCCAGAAAATTATAAGGAAATGGCAATTTTCAGTGTGACTTGGCCAAATCTGGATGTATTTTCATGGGCACAGGAAAAGACACCTCTGTAGCCCCAGGACTAACTCCCAATCAAATTGCTCCATACCAATGAGGCTTTACAGGGTTTCTCAACCAGTGGGTTGCAGCCCAAAACCGGGTTGCCAGTATGTGTCAAAGGATGGCAAGGGGGCTGGGTCCTGCTTCTGGGGAGAGGAAGAGGGTGAGAGGTACTGGGGTAGGCAGTTGCAGATTTTTGCCCTCTCTCACCCTGCAGGGGTGCATCCTACAGCTCTGGTCCTGTGGGGCCAGCTGAACTCAGGTCCTAGCATTGAGCGTTGCGATCTGGTATGAAGGGCCACAGCATCGCTCAGATTTGCCCCAGCTGCCCCTCCACCATGATGACGGGCCAGCCAGGCCAAATTTGAGCAAGTGGTGCTGTGATCCTTTGCACCATTCACAAATTTGGCCTGGCTAGACCTGAATAGCACTGCAATCCCAGAGATTGCAATACCCAGAGCAGGGAGCTGAGTCCAGATAGCCTTGCAGGACAGGAGCTACTGCTGTGGTATACAGTGTGTTCTCATTTAGTACTTAATATATATACTGTATATTGTTAGTAAGAAATGTTTTAGTAAGCCAGATGGTTTTTGCACTAAAACTATTTACTGGGTCATGACAGGCCATAAAGATTTAAAAATGGGTCCTGAGTTCTAAAGCAGTGGTTCTCTCTCCTTTGAATTCCTTTTTAAAAATTGGCAAAATTACCTGTGTTTCCCTATTCTCATTCTCAAATGGTTGCAGAGTTTTTGCTGAAGCTTTCCTCCAGAAGCTCAGCCTGAGGCAGAGGCCAAACATGGAAAACTTCAGCCCACACAGTTAGAAGTACCTTCCTATAAGTTTGAATGTGAACGAGCTACTGAAGCCAAAACATCTCATGTCAAATTCAGCCTTAATTGAAGAGCAATGGACACTGTTTTTTAATAAGGAAGTGCTTGTTTATGCCAGGGCTGAATTTGGCCCCTTACTTTCAAGGTAACTTAAATTAATCTACTGCTAAGCAGTAGCATTTGTGGTATACTGGAGTATATGATTGATTTGTTTTGTTATAGATGGACGGTGACAGTTCTACAACAGATGCTTCTCAGTTAGGAATTGCTGGAGATTACATTGGTGGTAGTCACTTTGTAATACAGCCTCATGATGGTAAGAAATCTACCAGTTAAAGTGGAAGTTTGTCTGTCTTAGCATAGTACTATTAAGTGTTACAATGTCCTGTCACTTCTTGTCTAGCTCTTCCATTAATTCTCCATCGTTCATGAAGCTAAGCATTGGTATTTATCTGCATTCATAATGACTCCCTGCATACAATTCAGTTTTGATCAATTTGAAAATGGGTTTGCAACTTTCAATGTTAGCATCGGAGCCCCTTTGAAAGCAATCTAGTGTTCTGGGTAAAAGAAGTAATCCACACAAACATGCTCTACATTGACCTGTAACGGGGTGGTGTGTGTTTAAATATCAAAGGATGTTGCTTGCCTCTTTGCTGGAAGAGGAATGTCTCTTTTAAAAAAAAATAATAATAAATTTATAACATTGTTCAACAAACAAATTAAATCTTAGTGTTTGTGAAGCTGGTATCGAGAAGAACACCATTGGATGTGTCCATGTGTAATATATACAAAGAATACATATTGGTGAGGTGTGATAGAAAACAACTTTCCTAGGCACCACAATGTCATGGGAGCATGTGTTAATTTTTAAGAACCCTGGACCTTTCAGAGCTGTAAGCAAGTGTGGTACTCACTTGGAAGTTGGGAATCTCCCATTTCAACTCTTGTTAAATCTTAAACCTCACTGAATATTGCTAGTCATCTATTTCAGACCAGTATCATTTTCTTTTGCTGTTGCGGATGGGGTTTGAAATTTCACTTTTAGGGGATGATAAGAAGGAATACTTCTGTGGCAAGCTTTTTTTAATGGCAGCTATTTGAAGTTGATCAGAGGTTTGGAATGTTAATAGTCCTGGATTAATAAGTAGAATACAGGTAAGATGATAGAAGGTGCTTGACAAATGCACCCAATACTAACTTTTCTTTATTTTGCTAGACACGGAGGACAGTATGAATGATCATGAAGACACAAATGGCTCAAAAGAGAGTTTTAGAGAACAAGATATATATCTTCCAATTGCAAATGTGGCAAGGATAATGAAAAATGCCATACCCCAGACAGGAAAGGTAATATCCATGGCTAAATCCAACAGGGCTGTTCTGCTAATGAGAACAGATTCATGTATTACATTCATTCTTTGGTTAGGCAAACTTGGGTTCTAGTACAACATCTTTATCTTCAGTTGCTGAAACTGCACGCTTGCTCTTTGAGAGCAATATTTTTTTGGCCAGGTTTCCCAAAATTTATTTTGAACTATATTTGAGTTACAGGAATCCAACAATTAAAAGATTAAAACTGCTCTTTTGCATAAAAAAATATAAACTACTTATTATTCATCCATATTACGGAGTCTATAGCTGTGATGTTTGGTAGTATTTTTTTAGACACGCAGATTATACATAACTGCCACATAAGAGCGGACTTATTTGGTCAAAAATAGAGGCTAATATTTGAGCTGGCTTGCTTAGACCTTATCTAAACACAAAGGTTGAAGCAGGTTTCTAAATCAATTTAAACTGGTGCAAACCCCAGTGTGGACACGCTTAAACAGGCTAATGAGATTGCAAAATTGTATGACAAATGTAAATTACTGAAGTAGCCGGGTCCAAAGTTGGTTTTGTGTTTATCTAGTGTCTACAATGCTTTACATAGACAAAATGTTTTCAAAATAGCCACCAGATGTTCACTCATAAAAGTGGTCAGGCATGATGGCAATCAAATATTTAAGAACTGTTAAACTTGTAGGAAAGAGATTTCTTTTTTATTTATTTATTTATTTATTTATTTATTTATTTTTACTTTTTTTGATTGGAGTGCAGGGAAATTGGAATGAGTGAGCCAGTTTGGATGAAATAAGAACTTCCTTCTCAATCATCTGAGGAAAAATCTAGTTTTTCATCTTTGAACTTCTGGATTTCCAGAAGCAAAATGCCATAAGATAGGCTGTTCTAATGGCTTTAATTTCTGGCCTTACTAGAAGTACGAGATATGAGAGAGCTTGTGAGAGCTTGTTCTACAATTCTGCAGACTTGAGATTTGATTAAGAATTGGAACCCTGTAAGCTACTTATCTTAACCAAACAGTTATTGCTGTCTGAGTCCTATCTAATATTACATAGGATTTGGAGTATTGCTTACTGCTCTTGTCTTGCTGCAGAAACTTTCCTTTTCGTCTGTACAGCTTACAAAATAATCAGACAGCTAGCAAGGCATTAAAATATAACCTGGCATAGGCAAGGCATGGATGCTTTCAAAACCCCTGAGTGTTCCAGTGTAAGATTGTTATATTCATTAATCTTTTCTTTACACCAGATTTTCAAAAGTGCTCAGCACCCACAGTTGAGGTCACGTTTTCAAAAGAAGTTGGCACATTGAGTGCTAAGCGGTCTTGAAAATCTGGCCATAAATATCCCGATGGGAGCTGCTGGCCCTAAGTGTCTATATGCTTGAAAATTATGTCAGAGAGTATATGGGGTTCTGAATAAAGATTGCTATTACTCTCAGATACAAAGGTTCCTTCTTCATATTCCATCTGGAAGAGATTTGTCACATATGAAAAAGCATCAAATAAGGATAATCCTTCAGTGGATTCTTGCTTATTTACTTTCCTAAATACTCCGCTGTAGCACCCCTCTGCTATTCTAAATCACCTAATTTATTTTTAACGGGATAAAAACTTTGACTCGCCCAATTTATTCTTGGCAGGAGCATATCTGTTTATTCACTTGAATGCTTGTTTAGAAAACTTAGAATATTAAAAACCACTACAGAGGCTTGCTACCGGGCAAACTGAGTAAGCACTAGTTATGAATCTGATTAGGATAAAATATCCCTGGCTGAGCTGCAGAAATTTAGCTCTGGAAGACCTGAGATACAGACTCAATGGCAGAGTGAGCAAATTAAAGGAGAATAGAAATTCATGAAGATGCTTTGTCCCACAAGACATTATAAAGTGCTGTCCAGTCAGATTCATCATAACTCCAATTTCTTACCTTTCTTAGTTTCCATTTCCAGAGGGTTATAGTACCATGAGATTCACTTACACTTACAACTTACGAATTCAGATCTGACTGTGAATATAATGGCTTGTATCCAAAGAGAAGAAAGGGAAGCATGGAACCCACTAGTGTCTCTAAACTGTGTACATGTATAACAGCTTGTACAGAATGCAGCTGTGAAATACTGTGGAAATTGTAGAGGTCTGTAGTGTCACCTGAAGTAGTAACATAATAGTCTTACTCCATTTAAAATGCTATTTTATCTGCATTTTACCTGGAACAGTGGTGACATCCAGTGGCTGTTTCGCATATGCACACCAGTTTTGTTGATATATGCATATTACTTGTGGATAATTATTGTGGGGACATTCCCATATCTTCTAGTTTATTATTCTGCTACCAAGAATTGGAGTACTACAGGTTTTTAGTGTAATGTTGTAAGACTCTCCGGACTAGTGAGCCTAAGAGCTTTAACCCACAAGCCTGATCCTGAGAGGGGCTCAGCACCTCTAACTTCCAGTGAAGTCAAGGGGAGTTGTGGCTGGCCGGCACCTTTCAGGATCAGATCTCTGAACTGAGCTTTGGGAACAAACTTAGTAAGTAGAGCTTTAATTTGCAGTTTATTAACATGGTGAAGCTTAAGCAAACTTCAGGTGACTTTAGTAATGGTTTTTCTTACCAGATTGCTAAAGATGCAAAGGAGTGTGTGCAAGAGTGTGTAAGTGAATTCATCAGCTTTATAACATCTGAAGCAAGTGAGAGGTGTCATCAAGAGAAACGAAAGACTATCAATGGAGAGGATATTCTCTTTGCCATGTCTACCTTGGGATTTGATAGTTATGTTGAACCTTTGAAGCTGTATCTCCAAAAATTCAGAGAGGTTGGTAGCCTATCTTTCCACACAGGTTTAGACAAACTTACTGTGTTCAGTGTTGGCTCTTTTTATTATCTCCATATACAGCTGAAAATGGTTCATTTGCACCATACCCCAGAATCTTCTGTCCAGTGACTGATGGTTTTTATCCCATGTCATGTTCTATTCTGATGTAGACATGGATGTTACACATCAGAATAGAACATGACATGGGATAAAAACCACTTTAAAAACATAATTAAGAGTATTGGCAAATTTGTTCCAAAGTAACTAAATTGTTCAACTGATTTTTTTTGAAGAACCTTTCAAACATTATGGTAAATCAGTTTTTGTGCTCCTGTTAAGAACTCAGCCAGATCCTCAGCGGCATTCAATGGAGCTATACTTACTCACACCAGCTGAGGAGCTAGCCCACTACATTTTGTCAGATTGCATTTCTAATCTGTGAAGGGGAAAGGTATATTTTAACACATTACTTTGGTGACATGAAAACTTGTCAACTACATGCCTGTTTGAGCATATTTTGCTTTGGTTGTCAAGTACTTTCCAATACCCTGTTTTGGCATTAAGATTTGCATTTCTTATTGCAGAAGATACTTCAAGATTGAGCATATCCTCTAGTCTTCTCAGAATTTAGCATGAACTTTCTTCCTTCCTTCCAGCAACCTAAGTTTTATGCAAAATAGAGCTGTCCTCTGCCTTTTTCCACTTTGGGAGGGTGGGTCTGAAGAGATTAATGTATATTCTATTCCTTCACCCACCATCCCTCTGTGGCAGTTTATGCCAAAGGACGGGGAGTTTTCCTATGAGACAGTGGCATGAGACATTGACTCAAGAACTGAGTCTGTCCAAACAAGTTATAGGAACTTTCAGCTAATAAGCTGCTTCTCCCCTCCTCAACATCCCTCCATTTTTCCTGCACACCCACGCGGCACACAGAACACCCCATACTCTAACCCTCTTCCATGTGTTCATGTAGCACTGTCTGAAGGCTGGGTTAGCTTGTATGTTGCAGTAGCGCTTCAGAAAATTTTTAAGCCCGTTTGGCTTCAAACATACCTCTTCTTTACAGTGACATAGATTACCCTACCAATGGTGTCAATAGGCTAATGGAGCTAGCATTTAAAATTTGGATTTGTTGGCTCTGGTTTTGCCTGTCAGCTATAAATGATGTTCCCAGTCTTGTCGTCAGAGTACTATACAAAGGAAACTGCCTCACCTTCTTTTTTTTTTTTTTCATTAAACATATGGACAGTTTGTCATTACATTAGTACTTGCTTTGATGTTTTCACAAAAAGCCTGTCTGATGAAACAGCACACAGTTCATTGGGTGCCTTAACTCATCATGCTGACCTCAGGTTCTGGTTCTGGTTGGATACTATGGGGAAGAAATCAAATATCTTGGGTTTAAAAGTGACCTTCCTATTGTATGACATTGGCACTGTACATAATTACTTCCCACAGCTATTAGAAAAGGCATTAAAGCTATAGCATACAAATTAGTGGAACAACCCAAGACTGCATCTTGTCTCTTTTCCATTTCATATCCCAAGAACCGTTCTAGAAAGTGTGTATATCCATGTATAAAGTGCAACAAATAAGCTTATGTAACCAGCATATGTTTGCCACATTTTGAGTACTCCTGGAATTCTGCAGTCTGCTGTGGATTCTAGGTGCAAAATGTAGACCAGGGGTCAGCAACCTTTCAGAAGTGGTGTCCTGAGTCTTCATTTATTCACTCTAATTTAAGGTTTCGTGTGCAAGTCATACATTTTAACACTTTTAGAAGGTCTCTTTCTATAAGTCTATAATATATAACTAAACTATTGTTATATGTAAAGTAAATACGGTGGCCAGGACCTGGCAGTGTGAGTGCCACTGAAAATCAGCTTGCATGCCGCCTTTGGCACTCGTGCCATAGGTTGCCTACTCTTGATGTAGACCTACCTATTCCTTGTGAGTTACCACAGAACTCTTACTTCTGCAGAATTTGAAGGATCTCCTGTAAAAATACAGTCTTTATACTTTGTACAAATCTGTTATGTAAGGAGTATAGCAAATGTTAAAACCAACTCTTTGGAAGCTCACATACTGTGTGTATTAATATTTTAAAGAAACATGATCATTGGAGTTCTTGGATATTAGTGTCACACTTCTCATTACTGCAAACTGACTCTGTTAACAGTTTTAGGAAACTAGGATGATGAGCACTCTAAGGTAACTGTTGTAATGCAAACATTTTCTGTATTTCATTCAAGGCAATGAAAGGAGAGAAAGGGATTGGAGGAACAGTTACAACTGCAGATGGTCTTAGTGAGGAGCTCACAGAAGAAGCATTTAGTAAGTAAACCTTTTAAATTCAGATCTCATTACTACTTTCTTTGTAGATCCTCAAAGGTTTCAGATTTGAGAAAATGTAAATCATCAGAATTTTCTGAGCCTGGGTCAGACTAGCTGGGTGGGATCTAAAATCAGAATTTTCATTTGGAAGCAGAAGGCTGAAGAAATGCCTTGACACCTGCTCACCAGTCAAATTTTAAATTTCCCAGGCTCTGGAGGCTTCAGGACATTCAAAGCTTGAGAGGTTGGGAAAGTTACTTCACACATGTGAATTAATGCCAGCATTAAAAATGGCAGTTTTGAAGGAGAATAGTAGGACTCGGCAGGGAGCAGGAGGCCCCTGGCTAGGAGCCAGCAGAAGCAGGACTAGGAGACAGAACCTCTATCTCTTATTTTAAAAAAGTGTGCTTTGCAAGTCATGTATGTATGTGCTGGATTATCTTGTTTGAAGAGTTTAACTTCAGACTTGATGTATCTTTTGCATGTAACTTTTAGTTTGGGCACAACTTAATTGTCTCTTTTTTTTTTAACCAAATATGGTAAAGACCAAATTTAATCTCTCAAATGTAAGCTGTTCAGCTCTGTCAAACATTTGGTTAAACTTTTTTTACATGGGAAACTGATTTAGGGTTGTTCTGTTTTTGTCTCTTATCCTTATGTAGAAATGGCTGGACTTTCCAAACCAGCCCCTCACTTATTCTCTCCAAATGCAGAATATCAAAGTTATAACTGAATGTTTAGCCTTTTGCTTCCTAATGACTTCTGTAATAATTCTACTTTTCGATTGTCTCAGGGCTTAGACCCACAATTACAATAATGTTTACCTAACAGGTTCTCCATTTATTCTCTTGACTTCCACACCACATTTAGTTAGTTTACTAGTCAAAATTTCTTTTTATTTACTTCACTGGCTTCCTGTAGGTTACTGTGTTAAGTCCAAACTCTTCATCATGTCCTTCAGAGCACTGCACGATTCCATCCAAGCCTGCATCACAGCTCTAATTGCTACCATTACCCTTACCACTGCCCCATTTTCTCCACTAACAAATCCCATCTCCATCAGGGCAGGGATAGGCTCCCATTGTGTCTTGGACTATGTGCTCAGTGCTCTAACAAATATTTTTAGAATTCAAGTGGCCAGAATGGTAAAGTCCACCTCACATTGGAAAGTAAAGCTGGTTTTTGCCTTCATACATCATCAGCAGTAAAAATTTTGCAAGCTGACTTCAGATAATGATTTGATGCAGAACAAAATCTGTTTCAGCTCTGCAGTGCTAATGGGAGCTAACTTGTTTTTGTTAGTAAACAGATGTGAGTGTATAGTACTCGGGGAGTAGATATGATGAGGAAGGTTATGCCATAGTCCCTCTGACCATAACTGAACTTTCTGTTGTGAATGATGATATATACTTTAAAAAAGTTCTATGTATCCTGCAGTTTTGTCTAACTACCTTAACTAAACTGCTCTTTCTTTTAGCTAACCAGTTGCCAGCAGGTTTAATAACAACAGATGGCCAGCAGCAAAATGTTATGGTTTATACAACATCTTATCAACAGGTACAGTATCCTCTCATCCACTCTCTTCCTTCTGTTGCTAAAATTCAAAGCCCTATTTCAGAACCCCCCAGTTTGAAAGAGACGAGAATAACTTGTATTTAGACCTCTGTCATGATTTTCTGACACTACGACCTGAAAGATTACTAAATGTGATACAGCTTCCGAGGACGGAAACTTGAAACTAAGCTTATGTTCTTTTCCCCCCTCTCTAGATCTCTGGTGTTCAACAAATTCAGTTCTCATGATTTGAAGAAGGCTTTGGATTTGGGAATGGAAGAGAGACAAGAAAGCTGTACAACTTGTGAGAAGAGACGTTAGTTTAAAATGACAGAGGAGAGAGTTGTCTCTTTGTACATTAAATAGCTGTAATGTAGCTACCTGAGGCTTGACTAATGGCGATGTGAATTCTGACAAATCTTTTTTCATGAATTTTAAAAAAATTGGATTTTAAGGGTATTAAAGTATTTTTGTTTTGTACAAGAGTTTGTTGCTCTGTATAACTCCTGTATGCATTGTATATTGCAATTTATTACTGTCAGAGATTTGTAGACAGTTTCTTATTTTCATATTGAATCATGTTACTTTTGTAATTCAAGTAAACAGCTGAGTTTAATTCATGTTTACCCTTTGAATAAAATAAGGGTAAAGTTCATTTTGAATGCAAGTTGCCTTTATTATAAAATTTAAATTGTTCTTGGTAATGTAAATTGTCTTGCATGTCTTAACTAGATTTTTAATGTTGACATATTTATTGAAAATTTGAAAGGGATTTTTTTTATGAAACTCTAGCAGCTCAAAAGAATTGTTAGAATTGTTTTTTAATGTAACGTTAGAACTTAATGTTAATCCAGAAGCAAACAATTGTTAGATCTGTTTAAATTTAGATATTTGGTTCCCATCAACAGTGTTTACTATAATGCAATAGTTTTTATTTGAGATAGCTACTACAGGCATTCATTAGGCTACTTTTACAATTATATTAACTTAATAACTCTGTACAGACTTCTGAAGAATAATTTGTTAAATTTAAAGTAGTCTTAGAGCTATTGAAATTATACGCTTTCCTTTTATGCATGGTTTTTGGAAAGTCAAATCCCAAAATTTAACTGTTTTCTCAAGTGTTATAGGAGGATTTTATAGTCCTGTGGTAAATGACCTCAATTTAACTTTTTAAACTGAAATATTACAAGGTTTGGTTTCCTGTAAGACTCTGGGAACTCTCAAATGTTTCAGAAATTGTGTGTGTGTGTGTGTGTGTGTGTGTGTGTGTGTGTGTGTGTGTGTGTC